GAATATATTTACCAGTACTGTTAATGCTCACCCACAACTCTTCTGGGAGGATCTAAATCGTTGAAGCGGTTAAGTCATCTTTAAACAGACATTCTCCTTAGCACTTTTTAAAAATTTTTAAGAAAAATGTTATTATTTTTTTTTGTGTCTACCATTGGATCGGATCTGACTGGTACAGGAGGAGATTGCCCTTCCTTCTCCAGCAGAGCATCTGGTGGATTTGAACCGCGTACCTCTGGGATTGCAGTGCAGCTTCTTGCCATTAGGCCACTAGAGCTCCCTTCTCTAGCACTTTAGAGAGAGCCCTGACACAGATTTTCCCAGTGCAACATGTCTTTTGATTTCTGATTACTAGTACCATGGGTATTGATTGCGGATGAAAGTAAAGTGAAATCATTGACAACTTCCGTCTCTTCTCCATTTAACATGATGTTGGCTATTGGTCCAATGGTGAGGATTTTTCTTTCCCTGATGTTGAGTTGTAACCCGTATTGAAGGCTGTAATCTTTAATCTTCTATGGCAAGCATATTAAGTCCTTTTCACTTTTAGTAAGCAAGATTATGTCATCTGCATAACATAGGTTGTTGTTGAGTCTTCATCTCATCCTGATCCCACATTCTTCTTCATATATTGCAGCTTCTTGAATGATCTGTTCATAGCATAAAGACTGAATTGGTGTGGAGAAAGGACACATCCCTTGTGCACTCCTTTTCTGATTTTAAACCATGCAGTGTTTTCTTGTTCTGTTTGGACAGCAACTTCTTGGTCAATGTGTAGGTTTCACATGAGGACAATCATGTGTTCTTGGATTCTTCTCAGTGTTATGCAAAATACAGTCATTCATAATAGATTGTGTTTTATTCATGTACATTGTGTTACAAAAAATCATTCATATATATTGTTTTTTATGTAACTAATTTGATTCTTGCCTTTTATTACCCAATTTCATGCAGTAATAGTTTTAATAAGGCTTGTGTTAAGTGCTCTTTTATGTTGAGTGTTTTATTATGGTAAAAGGTGAGCTTTTACCATAATTTCTACTTGAAAGGTGAATTATGGGATCCTTGGCTTGTTCACCATGTTCCTGTGCCTGCAATACTTAGACTAATATGCTTAATTTAAGCTAATGAAATAAAAATTGAAAGTTATTAATTCTTGTAGATTCTGGCTAGGTGTCAAACATCACGTTTTTGTATATGTGTGTATTACAAGTTCTTAAAATGGATATGCTATTTTAGGTTTCTTAAAAGAGACTGAGAAGATGAATAATTTGCTCATAGCTAAAATAAGCTTGAGATATATAGATACACACACGTACAAGGAGTCCTTGGGTGGTAAAATGGTTAAGTGCTCAATTAACTGAAAGTTTGGTGGTTTGAACCCACCTGAGACACCTTGGAAGAAAGGCTTCGTGATCTGCTTCCAAAATGTCATAATCTGGCAAAGCCTGTGGAGTGCAGTTCTACTCTGCAACACGTGGGGTCTCCATGGACCAGAATCAACTCCTTGACAACTGGTTTGGTTTGGATTTATACAAATACAGAAATGTGCACAAATTCTAAGTGTATAGCTTCTCGGGATATTGAAATTTGAATATAAGCTAAACTTTAAAAGTTTAAAACAGCTTATTGTATTTGTCACCTAAAGGATCCTTTCTTGCTTATTATTTTTCCTTAAAGTGTTAGAAGCTAGTTTAAAATTTATTTTCTTTTGCATTTTTTTCATGTAAATAAGTGCCTCCTTTTTTTTCTCTTCTTTTAAATCTACAGCCATGTAAAAAGAGAAGGAAAGATGATGATGGATCTTCCTGTGAGACAATTACAAAGTATTTATCACCAGTAGGGAAGACTGGAGATAGGATTTTCTCTTCGCCAAAATCCAACAATATTCTAGATTATTTTAGAAAAACCTCACCCACAAAAGAGAAGACTCAATCGATCAAAGAATGTAAAATAAAATCATCTGTCCCATTGCCTGTTGAAAATGACAAGGACTGTGAAACCCCTTTGGAAATGTTCTCAAACACAGACCTTAGGAAGAGAGGGAAGAGAGTTAATTTATCACATCAGCTAAATAATATCAAAAGTGGACGTGACTCTCCAATTGAAATTAGTAGTGAGGATAGCAAAGAAGACTCTAGTTTTAATGAGGACTTGATACAAAGTAGTACTTCTATTTTATTCTTCCAGAAACATGTAGAGATTCTTGCAGAAGGTAGTCAAGATAATAAAAACCAGGCCAGCACTATGACCTGCAAGCCAAGTTCTAAGAAAGTAAACTCAAAACAAAACACTACAAGAAATGATTGCAAAAATATGAAGAAAAGGAAACACAGAGATGTAGTAGATCTCGCTGAGAGTTTATCCTTGACAAAGGAACTGAAAAAAGATGGCAAAGATGATAAACAGATAATATCCCTACCTAATGAGATAGAGGGTACTGTATATGATGCAAACCCTGGAGATAATGGAGCTAAAATATCCCAGTTAAATGATAATACAGTCACTGTCTCATATGAGGACTTTTTGAAAAGTCACAAGGAAAACAAAGTGGAACAGATGGCAGACTCTACAATGCCAATTTGTGTTCCTTCTGCTACTGTTGGGAAAATAATCAAAAGTGCTTATATAAGTGACATAGAAACTTGTGAAAGTTCCCAACAGTTACACTGTAAGACGGTGACTGTTCTTGCACAAGTTCACCCTGCACCCCCAAGGAAGACAGGGAAAATACCCTCCATTTTCTTGAAACAAAAGCAAGTTGAAATGGAAAACAGTTTCTCTGATCCTGAGAGTGAGCAGGCAATTCAGAAAAGAAAATCTAATGTTGTTATACAGGAGGAAGAGTTAGAGTTGGCGGTGCTGGAAGCTGGAAGTTCTGAAGCTGTGAAACCGAAATGCACTCTTGAAGAAAGACAACAGTTTATGAAGGCATTTAGACAGCCAGCCTCAGATGCACCAAAAAACGGAGTTAAAAAGTCTTCTGATAAGCAGAAAGACCTAAATGAAAAATCATCTCATGAGGAAGGCACAGATAATGGTTCTGAAAGCATCACGGAAAATCCTGATGCCCAGATACCTTCAAATAATGGCACTTCACACACTGATAAAGGGAATCTTCCTAAGGAGAAAAGTAAAAAGCTCAAGAAAAAGGGTAAAAAATTATTAGTGACTGTGGCTGCACCGAGTGAAACTAGAGAAGAAAATACTCAAAAGAAAAAAACCACCTCTTGCTTAAAAATGAACCCAAATAAAAGTAGAATGAGAATGAGTTTAAGGCAAAAGAAAACCGAAGATTTCAAAAGCAGCACATTATTTAACTCTGAAAATCTTGTTTGTGAAGATAGAACAAAGAATGACCCTTTAAGGATTTCCTCCCTACGTAACAGTAAATCAAAGAAAACCAGTACTCCAGTTAAGGCTGTCAGAGACACACATTCTAAACTTGAACCTGGAGACAACTTGGCAAGTGTGTCCACACCCAAATCAACCAGAAGATCTGGAAGAAGTAACAACACAACAATTATTCAAGATTCTGATTTTGAAAACACAGAAGATAACAGTCCAATAAAGGTTTCTACACCAAAAGCAGCCAGCTTACCAGGAAAGCATAATTTATATACAGCAGAATTAATAACAATACCTTCTGATTCAGAGAGTCCTATTAGGTAATGTTTTGTTTTTCATTTAAAAATGCTATCCAGGTTCTGGTATTTAGCATGTCATATCAACAGGGAAGGAAAATATTTTAAATGTCAGAAACTTATTTTTTCCCCCCCTCTAGAACATAACTAGTTCTAAACTAGTTGTAAAAGAAAAAGAACAAGGTTTCAAACTTGTTAATACAATGAGACATTACACTGCTTATTTTGGTTTTAACATGAATGCTATTTTTCTAGAACAAAAAAAAATTTCTTGTTTCCCACACTTAGTTTAAAGTCAGACAAAATGTCAGAAGAACTCTTGATGGTTTTTAATTGAATTGCAAACTCTTAATTAAATTGCTATTGCTGATAGCTGCAGAAATACATGAAATAGCCTTCACATTAAATTCTGTATGTTAATGAGACTAAGTATAGAAATATCTTATTTGAATGTTTGGAACTTTGATGGCCTAGTGAACAAGGAGTTGCACTACCAACCCGAAGGCATATGGTTCTAATTCAACAGCTACTCTTGGAGAGAAAGATGGACAATCTCTTCTCATGCTGTTTACAGCCTCTAAAAACCTATGAGTTGGTTCAAACTTGAGAGCACATAGCAACAATTATAAAAGTAAATTTATTTCTTGGGTTTATAGAGCTGTAAAACTATGCAATGCTTACTTGCATTTTTTTTTTTTAATAGAAGAGTCATGTTAAGGACTAATTTTCTGTAAAGCTTATTTTTAAATGGGAACATTTTCTACTTCACAAGAGTTTAACGTGCATGTTGGCATCTTTTTGAATGAGTAGCTTGAAACTGGAGTTTTTGTTTGGAGTGATCCAGAAATGGGAACTGTAGATGATTCTATTTTAGTTGAGATTCTTACATTTTGTAATCAACAAAATCTTCCTATATACCTTTTGGTTTTTTTCCTGCTCAGAATGAAATTCACCAGAATTAGTACTCCTGAAAAATCTAAGAAAAGATATAAGAAAAAATCTCGGAAATCGGAAGCAACTGATGGAGATTTTATTTCTCAGAAGAGAAAGGTAATTAAGATATCAGACATCCTGTGAGTTGTATAATTCCTTTAAGCATCAAGAAAAAGCTACTCAGAGTACATATTTCATAGATTGGTGATATTAACTGCAAGTTTAAATTCTTTTTCAACCCATTCTTCTGTTTAGTTTATTAAATTATTTGGAAATAACTGATAAGGACAGTATAATTTATGTAGTAAAAGCTTTCTTAGAATTATATTCCAGTCATTTTTCTTTAGACTTCCTGGAGGTCATGAGTGCATTTTTGGCTTTTATCTGTAGATACTTGATTTTGGCACGGTTGACACTTGCGGCCCTATAATATTCTGTTGTGAAGGGGTAGGGCTGTTCTATGCATTGGAGGATGTTTAGCAGTAATTCTGACTTCTACCCAAGAAATGTCAGTCCCTCACTTTATGACAGTCAAATATGTGTGCAGATCTTGTCAGATGTTCCCTAGATGGCAAAGCCCCTTTGGCTGAAAATGACAGCTTTAAAGGGAAAGAAGTGATATATAAGAATAATTTAGTTGCTTTTTAAAGCAAACTACTGTAGGTTGTTAAAGATAATTATGTTTTGACAAAGCTATAAAGGCTTTGTCAAATAAAATCCTTGAGTGAAAACTGTTGCTGCAGAATTTTTATTATTTGTGTTTTTAAAGTTGTGATCCAAGTGTATGTTTACAAAGTAAATTGGTTTTCCATTCAACTATTCACATGCATTTTGTTTTAAAATTTTAATTATAATGCAAAGTAAGTACACTTACCTGATTCGCCCATGTGATTCATTTCCATTAATCTGGTTCTATCCCTTCCTGTCAGCTGAGCTTTATCCTGAAGCCAATGCTGTACCTTTGAGCTTGTATGATGGATTGTTTTAAGGTGTGAGAACTGTGCTGGTGCATTCTGGTCCCGTCTTTTGTTTAGGTGAAAGTTAAGCCACTGGAGTGAGTTTTATTCCAGGCGTGCAGGTAACTAAGGGCCATAGTCTTGTATCAGATCAATAGGCCTAGGCATTTTTGTTTCTTAGTGTTTTTGTTCCACACTCCCCTACTCTGACCAGGACTTTATGCTGTTATAACTTTTTTTTAAAAATAATTTTAATGAACATTTACAGAGATTTTGGATTTCCATTCATTCATTGCTGCACTTCTCTCCCGCCCAGCCCTCCCCCACCCCAGTTCTCTCCTCTCTTTCAAAAGTAGAAGAAACACTCCTTCCTTGGTACACAATCCCCCCACACCCCTCCCACCGCCCCAAGTACATTCCACTATACAACCTTAATTGTGGACTCTTGTGATAACCATAATACCCTATCATATATCGCTTTTAAATTATTCACTCCCGCATCTATTTCAGTGCAGTATACACAATCTATCCAGTTTTTGTCAGTCTTTCCCCACCCCTGATATCAGTCCCATTATACAGCTGTGGCACCATGCAATATTTGTCCTTTTGCGACTGAGATATTTCACTCAGCATAATGTCCTCCAGGCTCACCCATTTTGAATAATATTGCATGAGTTCCTTGTTTTTCAATGCAGCGTAGTATTCCATTGTGTGAATATACCATAGCTTCTCTATCCATTCGTTTGTTGATGGGCACCTGGGTTGTTTCCAACTCCATGCTATTGTGAACAAAGCTGCGATAAACATGGGTGTGCATATATCTGTTTGGATATGTCAGTTATGGTCTCTTTGGGATATATTGCCAGTAGTGGAATTGCTGGGTCAAATGGTATCTCTATTTGCAACTTTTTGAGAAAGCGCCATACCGCCTTCCACAGTGGTTGCACCATTTTACACTCCCACTATCAGTGAATAAGGATTGCAGTTTCTCCACAACCTTGCCAGCATTTGTTGCTTGCTGTTCTGTTAAATTTTGCTATTCTGACTGGGGTGAGATGATATCTCATAGTTGTTTTGATTTACATCTCTCTTAGAACTAGGGATTTTGAACATTTCTTCATGTGCTTGTTGGCCATCTGAATGTCTTCTTTGGTGAAGTGTCTGTTCATATCCTGTGCCCATTTTTCAATTGGATTATTTACCTTTATCTTGTTGTGGTGCTGTTATAACTTTTTTTTTTAATTGTATTATTTTTATGTGTACCGTCAAATCAGATCTGACTGGTACAGGTATAACTTTTAAGGAGGTCAGCAGTGGTAGCCATCTAGTTTTGCTTTCAGGCATAGGGAGATTGAGGTTCATGTGGTCATTAGAACTAATTGCTTCTTTACATCTTTGCTTTTCTTTGTTTAGACAGAAAGAGAGACCTTAGATGTTTTATTGAACAGTCTTTTTTTTAACATGTTGCCGCACACTTTTAATTGACGACCGTGCTTAGAAACACATTCTTTTACTGTCATTTGTGGCAACGTGTTAAAAAAAATTATTTACTATGCTTCAAGCACTGTACTTACTTATATAATTGATCCACCTCATAAAGTAGATGTTATTTAGCCTGATTTATAGACGAAGAAAAGGTAATTCATGGGTTGAGGAAGTATGCAGTTTGTGTGATTTTAGGAAATTACTTTTTCAAAGTCACAACAGTAAGTAGTTAGAAAGATGGTTCTTAGTCTGTTGGAAAGCTTGCAAAAATCTCGATGGTAGTACCACAGCTGAAGATTAATATCTTTGAGATGAACGTTATCCAAATATTTTATTTCATTCAGCTCTAAAGGATAACTCTTCAACTTCAATTTTAGGTATACTTTACCTTGGTTTGCCCTTAAAATTGCAATTCAGTTTCAGTTTTCCCATAAGATGAATCTCTAAATTCAATGTGTCTAAAATTTACTTTGATCACTTGGGCCTCTAGCCATATTTACTTAGATAAGTTATTTTATCTGGTGATTTTAGTCTGTGAGCCAGTTTGTTCTTTGACGCTTTATTCAGCCCTTTTACTAGTTCTAGCAGGGAACTGTAGTAACTTCGTAAGAGGAATTTTCTTCTTCATGAAAATGAGTGGGTAAACTGATTTTCCTAAGAGCCAGCCTTACAGTTGTAACAAATCAATTTGCAGAATGTTTTTTCAGACTGGCTTTGGATTCACAGATCTATGCAATCTATTTGCTTGCTAAGTATTGGTGATATAGCTTTGAACAAGATACACATGACTTCTATTCCCATAGAGCTTACATTCTTAAAGAGAATTCAGACAGATAAACAGGTATTTGTAACAGGGGGGCAACTCTGGGGAACCTAGTGAGTAAAGAGGTTTGCTTCCAACCCAAAGGCAGGCAGTTTGAATCTCCCCGCTGCTCTAAGGGAGAAGAATAGTCCTTTCCTTCCATGTGATTTGTAGCCACTAAAAACCCACTGGAGTCAGTTCCAATTCAATGGTACTTAACAAAACAACATCTATGTATGATGAGCTATACTAAAGTAAACATTCAGTACTGTGGGAACACATAGATGGAAGTTGTAGATGACTTCCCGGAGTGGATAAGCTAGGATCTAAAATGTTAGAAAGAGTTCCTCAAGCAGAGAGGACAGTATGCTCAAAGGCCTTAAAGTACAATAGAAAATATTTTCATTTTTGTTGAGTTGAGTCCAAATGATTAGGAATTTGGACTTCATTCTCAGAACAGGGGCAAGCCATTTAAATAGGAGACATATGATCAGATTTGAAAAACATCAAGAATTTAGGTGGTAGATTAGTTAGAAGACTTTTGGAATCATCCAACAGGAGAAGCGATCGTGTTCTGAAGGATAGTAGTGAGAGGGGCCTAGTTGTTATTTAGGAGGTAGAATTAAATTTGGTAGAATTAAATAAATTTAGGCTGATTATTTTCAATACTGACTTGCTATTAGATTCTGCCCAAAATTTTGTTTCTAGAACAGAAAAATCTATCCCTCTGCTACTAATGTACCAACTCCTTAACATTCATGCCCTTAGTGTGCTTTGGCTGTCCAGGCCTTTTTTTAATGGCTTTTGAAATATCAAACCTTTGTTTGGAAAACAAAAAGCAGATGTGCATAAAATTTAAAAAGTAGAAAATATTTTCATCTCAGTACTATTTTCATTGAATAGCACACTTGTAATAATAGTTAATTTGTTTATCCATCCAGGCTTTTTTTTTTTATGCTGTGTATTTTTTATTATTATACGCCGCATATATAGCATTTGCCAATTCATCAATTTTTAGGTGTACAGTTCAGTGACACTCATTACATTAGGCCAGTTGTATTTCACCAGTATCTGTTGCCAAGTTTTTCATCACCATGAGCAAATAAATACTCAGTGCTGCTTAAATAAGAAAATATATAAAATTTTTAAAAGGACTTATGTGGGGCAAACTGTTCTGCAATTTACTTGTGCTGTGTGATTTTTAATCCTGACATAGAAATCTGTGGAACTTAATATGGAAAACATCTTCTCTGAAAGATAATATTTAAATATGTTAGACTACATAGTGCATCAGTGTTACAGCCAGGCCTGAAGGCCAGACTTAATTTGTATCTACTTCTGTTTTCCATACCACACATAATAGCTCTGCAGCTTCCCCACAGCGGATTCAACCTGAAGTACATGCTAACCTAAATTTCTTCAGTTTCATATAATGGATGTCATATGATTTTACTATCTGCCCTGTTCTCTCTTCTCTGTTACTTTTAAATTCCTTGAGGTTAAAATTCACATATTTTTTTGTTGTCATCTTTTTTTTTCCAGGCTAGAATCTTATACATAGTAGCATTCAGAGTTCTACCTAAATGTGATGACTGAAAGATTCAGTGTTATGGTGATGGTGGAGAAATATCTGACAATTTAAAAAATATACTGCTTCTATAAACATACTTCTGGGTTTTCTAGTTTCTTTTCTTTTTTTTTAATTTCTGAGGCTGCAAATCTTTTTCCCCCTTCTAATATTTTTTATTGATTTGCAAACAATAATTCATATATATTGTATTTAATGGATATGCATTTTCTATGCACATAATGTGGATAAATTTCAAGTAAAATTAAAAGCAAACAAAGTACATTTGGACTAATTTAAAAGTTCTCCAATGTCTTAAATAATAATTTTTCTCTTTTATTTGATATAATTATTGATTTTTTTTTTCTTTTGTTAAATAGAAAATGTTTACCCATGATCTAAATTAGTATTTCAAATTTTTGTTTAGGCACGTAAAGCTTCAAAGAATGTATCAAAAGCAAAACGATTGATTGAAAAAGCAAAAGCTTTACATATTAGTAGGGCGAAAGCTCCTGATGAAATATCTACACCTTTAAGGCGTTCCTCTAGACATCAGGCACTTATTGAAAGGAAGAGATTATCAGAAACAGATGTAAGTACTATTTGTTTACTGAAGTCCTGCCTTATTCTGCTGTTTGGAGAGAAGGAAATCGTAAAGATACATCATTGTAATGGTACAGTTGTGAGGAAGCCTCAAGATGGTAAAAAAGATCACCATTTATAGTTCTGCCTTAAAAGTCTCTGGTTCTTTTTTTGCCTACACAATGCAACTTAAATCCTTATTAAATCCTTTCAGATACTTTATTGTCTGAATTAGCCCTTCTCTCTCCCCAAAATAAGTTGGGGAGTCAGACCCAACTCAGCTCACTCTCCAGTGTGTTTCCAAGGCTATAAATCACATGGGAGGAGACTGGCCACATGAAAATCACAAGCTTCATCTAATCCATTTCTGAACTGTTTTATTAGTTCTGAAAGGGGAACAGCTAGAATTTGGATAATATTATATTAATGGGTTATGTGAATTATTTTATCTGGATTATAGTTTACTAATTACTTGTACCCTGTCAAAATAAATCTTATTGAAAATTAATTGGTTAATATAGCTGGTAATTTCTTCTTTAAAAAGAAAGCCAGTAGTTATAATAAGCCCATATCACATAAACTTGTGTGATATAGGCATGACTACCCTTCAGACCATGGACTGCCAAGAAAACAAACAAGTCTGTCCTGGAGAGGATGAAACCAGGCTGCTCCCTGGAAGCAAAGATTTTGAGGCTCCGTCTAACATACTTTGGGCACATGTTCAGGAGGTACATCATGTTTGGAAGGATGGAGGGACAGTGCAGGAGAGGAAGACCCAGGATGAGATGGATTGACTTAGTCACTGGAGCAATGGGATTAGGTCTGTTGTAAATAATGAGATTGGCTCAGGATAGGGCAGCTTTCAGAGTTTATGTACCTAGGGTCACAGGTGACTGGATGGCACATAACAACAACAATAACTGCTTTGTTTCATGTATTTTATGTTTCAATCACATAATATGATAGGGAATTATATGGAGTTGCTAATTTAATTATATTATCTATTATAAATGTAGCTTTTCTTTTCTATAGAAGTGATTAATAGACTATATTCCAGATAATATAATTCATATAACACAATTCTAGAAATTCTAGTTATCATACTTTTAAAACTAATTGTGGGGAGCTCTGGTGGCCTAGTGGCAAGAAGCTGCACTGCACTCCCAGAGGAACACGGTTCGAATCCACCAGATGCTCTGCCGGAGAAGGAGGTGCAATATCCTCCTGTACCAGTCAGATCTGATTTGACGGTACACACACACAAAATAAAAAAACAAAAACAAAACCCTAATTGTACAGTCTAGAAATGGATTTGGTAAATCTACTGTTTTTACACAGTCAGCATACATTTACTGAGTTTGTAATTTAATGATACTGTGTATATGTCTTTCAGTATTAAATATATAATAAACTTCTAAAATATTTTCTTTTATTTTAGGACTCTGTAATAATTATAGATCCAAGTCCTCCTCCTTTAAAGCAGCCTGAGAAGAATCAGAAGACACTTAAGTGCTTGAATGATGTATTAGGAAAAAATCATAACCAAACACCTAAAAATGTACCTGGTAATCAGATTTAATAATGTTTATGACAAAATCTTTAATATTTTGGGAGGTTATATTTTCTGAATGCTTTTACAATGCTCTTGCCTTAGAAAATAAAAAAAATGTATTAAATAATATTTCTGTTTCAATAATAAGCAAAGATGGAGTGTAGTGAAGAGCTTTTTTTATTTTATTATTTTTGGTGTGTGTACTGTCAAGTCAGATCTGACTGGTACAGGAGGAGAATGTCCCTCCTTCTCCAGCAGAGAATCTGGTGAATTTAAACCATAAGCCTCTGGTATTGCAGTGCAACTTCTTGCCACTAGGCCACCAGAGCTCCTGTGAAAAACTTTTTGAAAAGGGAAGCTGTTCATAATTTAATTTATTACATATCTTTGTGCCTAATTATCTGATCATTAAAGTCACCTGAGTAAATATTTAAGGTCTGGTGTCTTTAGGTCCTTTGTAAATATCTTGAATAAGGATCTTCATTTGTACTGTTTAAAAAAAAATTCCTTGAGAGATTCTGATACTGCTAGGTAGAAGGACCAGATCATTATGTAAAAGATATTTATTTAATTAAAAAGAAAAGCCTTAAAGAAAAAGAGATACATGATTTTGAAAGTAGCTAGTGGTAAGTAGAGATGGAAACACTGATATTAATCTTTGTTTTATTTCTCTAAGGAAAAATGAAGGTCGCCCCTGTATTTCTTACCAGAAAAGCTAAAAAAACAGATAATCCTGTCACTGGATTTGATGAAAGCAGGTTAGTTCACTACAAATTTTTAATTACCAAAACATTGTATGGAATGTATTTTGTATTTCTTTGTTTACATTGTTATCTGCCAGGTTCTCATTTGGAGCTTTAAAGTTCAAGAAATGACAATGGTGACAGTGCTGCATTTGCTATTTGAACATCTTTTTTTTCCCTGGAAAAATTGTTGCATTTACCTCTAGACAAAACCAGCCAACCAAAACCCCTAAAATATTCTACATTTCATTCATCCAGTACCTATTTAAATACCTGCTATGTTCCACATACTGTTTTCTGTATAGAGAATATTAGAAGCAAAAGATGTATATTCTGTGGGGTATATGGTCTAGAGAGGGAAGACAATATGTGAACTTCAATCAGGCCAACAAATGAATTGCTAAAGAGAGATGCAATGTTCTATAACAGTCTTACGTTCTATTAAACTTTTTTTTAAGTTGAAATTTTAATGAAAGTTTATAGAGAACTTACATTTCTATTCATTCATTGCCGCACATTTTCCTCCCTGCCCACCACCCCTCCTCCCCAGTTCACTTTTCTTTTTGAAAAGGAAAAAAAAAATTCTTTCACTGTTATACACCCCCCCCCCCAGTCCACTTTACTATGAAGCTCTTATTCTATACTCTTGTCATGCAAATAATACCTAATCATATATCTGGCAAGGTTGTGGAGAAACTGGAACCCTTATTTACTATTGGTGGGAGTGTAAAATGATGCAACCACTATGGAAGGCAGTATGACACTTTCTCAAAAAGTTGCAGATAGAAATAACATTAGACCCAGCAATTCCACTACTGGGAATCTACCCTAAAGAAACCAGAACTGCCACCCAAGCAGATATATGCACACCCATGTTTATTGCTGCTTTGTTCATAATAACAAAGAGTTGGAAACAACCCTACTGCCCATCAATGAAACGAATGGCTAGAGAAGCTCTGGTATATTCACACAATGGAAAACTATGCAGCATTGAAAAACAAAGAACTCATGAAATTTACAAAATGGGTGACCATGGAGGACATTATGCTGAGTGAAATATCTCAGTCACAGAAGGACAAATACTGTTCTGTTAAACTTGTATGAAGAAGTTTTGATCTGATCAAAAATGCTTTCTTAATCTGAAGGATCAGCAGGAGTTAATGAGGGGGAGGAAAACTGCTCCAGACAGAGGTAACAGTCTGTGCAAAGACCCTGCACAGGGAGAAGTGGTGTAGTAAATGCAAAAGTCTGAAAGAATGCCAGTGTGACTTGAGTGGAGAGCGTGGGATGGATGGTGGGATGGATGGAATGTGAGATTAGGTTGGAGAGACCAGTGCTTGATATTAGAGGACCTTTTAAGAGAAGCTTTTTACTAAGCTAAGGGCAATAAAAAGCTGTCAAGAGGCTTCACACTTGAGTGTGGACACTGTGAGTTAGCACATACTTGACAGCCACTAAGCTAACAGCAACAAGAAGTCTGTTTACAACAAAGGACAGCTTCTCTATTTTAAGAGTAAAGAAGGGAGGGTAGAATAGTGAGCTAATGGATTTGTGTATTTTTGTATAAGAATGAGGCAGTTCCCTTCTGATTGTGCTTTTGCTCTGTAATATAAGTTTAGAAGTCTTGTGTTTAAGGTAAGAAGGTTAAAAGGGTTTGAGTTTGAAGAGAAAGAAAGAAGTTTGACATAGTCGTTTGGAGAGGAGAGTAAGTTGAACAGAAAAATTGAGGATTGTTGATAGTGTTGAGAGCTCATTTAAACTGAAACTGAATTTATGGTGAAATCAATGTGCCTTCTATGTATATTTGTATACAGAAAGCAGAGTGTTGATGACTTTAAAAAAATTTTATTTTATTAATTTTAATGAACATTTACAGAGATTTTGGATTTCCATTTATTCATTTATTTATTATTCATTTATTAGATTTTGGATTTCCATTTATTCATTTATTTATTATTCATTTATTCCATTTATTGTTGCACTTTTCTCCCTTCCCAGCCCTCCCTCTCAGTTCACTCCTCTCTTTGAAAAGTAAAAGAAAAATTCTTTCATTGCTATACAATCCCCCGGCCCCTAGTACACTCCACTAAGCAACCTTAATTCTGGACTCTTGTGATAACCATAATACCCTATCATATATTGCTTTTAAATTATTCTCTCCCTCATCTGTTTCAGTGCAGTATACATAATTTATCTAGTTTATCTCAGTTTACCCCAACCCTGATGTCAGTCTCATTCTACAACAGTGGCACCATGCAATATTTGTCCTTTTGTGACTGAGATATTTCACTCAGCATAATGTCCTCCAGGCTCACCCATTTTGAATAATATTGTATGAGTTCCTGGTTTTTCAATGCAGCGTAGTATTCCATTGTGTGAATATACCACCGCTTCTCTATCCATTCGCTTGTTGATGGGCACCTGGGTTGTTTCCAACTCCTTGCTATTGTGAACAAAGCCGTGATAAACATGGATGTGCATATATCTGTTTGGATGTCAGTTATGGTCTCTTTAGGGTATATTCCCTGTATTGGAATTGCTGGGTTAAATGGTATCTCTATTTGCAAACTTTGTTTTTTAAAGGAACTCTTTTTTTCTTTCTTTTTAAAAAATTTTATTTATTTTATTTTATTATTTTGTGTGCGTGTACCATCAAATCAGATCTAACTGGTACAGGAGGAGATTGTCCCT